ATGATTATAGAGTAGGCCTGTAAGTGAAAGGGTTAATGAGATGCTGGAATTTCCATCCCATGCTTGAAAATTTGTTGAGTTGCTGAGAGCAAACATTATGCAAGTCCATAACAACACCTGGTGTGTGTTTTATTTTTTTGCCTGTTGGATTTTTTAAGGGAATTTTTTGTTTGTTTTGGCTTGTTGTAATTATTTTGGAAACGAATAAACAAGATTTCAATTATTTGATCAGGACACTTTGCAGTTTCTTTTATAAGTGATATTTGCATGCAATTCTTTTTGATTTGTACCTTATTCTGTGTAGAAATAAATTTGCAATGATTGTATTATGTTTATAAACTTTAACCCATCACTCTGTGACTATGACTGATCATTTTGTTCTCAGGGATGGTACACACACCGACCCACTGGAGTTTCCATTTTCAAAACCAGCTTTATTCCAACAGAGTGGTCCAGGGTAAGTCTGCTGAATGGAATGTTCTTTGGGGTGCTCCGCGTGGAATTGTACTGAGGTTTGTGGGATGGGCTGGAGATTGACTTGGGTGGGGTAAGGTGGGATGGGGTGGAGATTGGTTGGGGTGGTGTGATGTTGGGAGAGGTGGGATGGTTTGGAGATTGGTTGGGATAGTGTGATATTGGCTGAGGTGGGATGGTTTGGAGATTGGTTGGGATAGTGTGATGTTGGGTGAGGTTGGATGGGGTAAGTTTGGTGGAGTTTAAGTTGGGTGGGGTGGGGTGGGGTTTGGGTGGGGTGAGTTAGGTGGGCTGGGGTGGGGTGAGGTTGCATGGTGTGAAGTGAGGTGTGATGGGGTGAGGTTGGATGGGGTGGGATGGGGAGAAGTGAGGTTGGATGTGATGGGGCTGGGATAAAATACACTATAATACTTTTTCTTAGCAGAGTCAAGCATATTCATTGGATATATATAACATGTTCCTTTCTTTGAATATTTGAATAGTGTGTCTCTGTTTATTTTCTGGATTGAATTTAGATGCTTTGGATTTTAAACTTCATGAGTTACAATGACACAAAGTTCTTCTTTCAAAATATGTTTCCAGGGAGATGACTCATTGCCCGGTGGTGTTGCTCATGGCTCTGACCGAGGCACGGGCTTCACACGAGAGGAGGTCAAACCTAAATATGTCAACCTCAAGGCCCCAGATGTAAGAATTTTCATTGTCTAATTTAATGTGTATGGTTAAAAAAAAAAGAAACCCAATGCCTGGTAAAGAATAGTAGTTTTACTTTGAGAGAGACCAAAACCTTTTCAGCAAAAGAACAATTAAACCTCAATGACTTGATAAGAGAATATATTGGCAGTATTCATTCAGAACTGATGTTATAATTGTGCATCTGGCAGGAAAGAAACTCCTGGTTGCAGTAAGTGCAAAGATTTTGTAACCTTTGAGCTGTCAATTAATTTCCGTCTGAATAAGTTCCTTCTTTTCTTGGTATCAATCTTCTACTGTCTCTTCCCAAGTTCTTAATTTGATCTCTGTTAGAGTTTCATCCCTCTTGTTGGTATGGTTTCCACAGGCTTTTGTTAAGACAATGTTTAATTCATCACTATAGTTGCTTTTTTTTGTCTGTTAATTAAAGTCTCATCAGTTATAATCTTCAAAGGGGTATATGTTTTTCAAAGGGCCATATGTTTTCATACTCTTTTCTAATGTTACCTGTACAACTTGCTCTCTCAATTTTCTCCATACCCACTTGCATTTTGAATACAGTATTTACAATTTGTTCTGAGTTTGTTTGTCACTGTGGAGACATTTTTTTCAATTCCAAGGCTTATGACCGTCTCTCCGACATGCCTGATCTGAAAGCTGACAGGACTCGGAGGCAGGACCCAGTGGAGTATCTCAACATGCAGTTTCCTCACAACAAAACAAGGTATTCATCCCTCTGGTTTGATGATTATATATATTGATTTGTTGTTAGCTCAGTATGTTTAGATGAGACCGACCTAGCCTTGCTCTCATTGAAGTTATAATTCCAGAACTGGAAAGGTAGGGCTGCAGAAAAGCTGTGCCTGTCATTCATGCCCGTGTTTTGCTATGGGTAAGTTCCTCCTGTGGCATGGCCTATTCTGGAATTCCAGATCAGCTGAATGGGCCATGGTGACGCGAAAGAGGCACTGTGTGTGGTGGACAACTCACTAGAGAATGTTTTTCCACTGACCCTCCCAAAACGCCAGAATTAATTTTCTCAGGAGCGCCTATTACGATAGGGTACCTTATTCAAATTGATTCTGTTGCCATGTTTTGTTCAATGAAAGTATATATATTTGATGCTACTGGAAAGGTAATTGAATACGCTATCACAATAGATGGGTTGCATGGTTCTTTGTGTTATTATGTAAGCACGGCGCCCAAACACCGCTCTTTTAGCTGGCTCGGCGATGGAGTGACCGGGTCATGGCGGCTGGTCACACAGAGGTCACTAACTCGACCTCCCGCTACCTGCCTCGGTAGCCGGTGAAATGAATTTTTCAACACATGTTTTATCGTCTTACACAAACAAAAAATATCATACGTGAACATAAGTTTGTTCTTTAGAGAAAGCAACTAAACTTCTTTATTGGTACGAAATAGCAATACCATGGCTGCTCATGTTGTGGTGTTAGATGCTCTTAAAATGTATGTCTATTTATAGTTAGTCAAAACAACAAACACATATTGAGTGGCTAATAACTTATAAGCCTAACGATAAATATTTACAAAACTGCTACGTATAACAGGAAAATGTGTATAGAAATGGACTCACTCAAAACTTGTCATGAGCATGATAGCCAAAACGCTTCTCTGCATTCATGACTTTTTGTATCCAATGGAATATGTATCCTCCTAAATAATGATATACTGGCGTATCTTCAATATACAGCACCAATTTCTTTTCACAAAATGAACATGTACAGAATAAAAGTACGAATACAGTTCTTCTTTCTAAACATATCCAGCAGCACGCAATGAGGGTGCTATTTGCAGGAGATGTGACACAAAAATAAAACGCATTTTGTCTATCTGGTTTGGGATCCCTCGGGCTCTGGCTTCCAGTTTTGAGATGGCTTGATTGCTGCTTTCTGTGCCCTGTTCTCCCAAAAGTCCGAGAGCAAACATGTGTTGTTGTATGTGTGGAATACAGTATTGCTCTAATATGTGTTGCTTTGGGATGACTTTGCCGGTGAAATGGCGTCTGAACGCGGCCATGTAATTGTCGATTGCTACGAAGATTTCTGGAAGTGAAGATTGGTTGACTGGTTTCAGATGTGATATTGCAGTGTGAACATGGCTAAATCTTTCATTGAGACGATTGAATATTGCTTCCACTCTACTTGCTTCCTCAATTATTGCAGTGTTGCGGGTGTATTTTCTTGTTTCTGTACAAATTGTGCTTGTTAGTTCCTTGTATACATGGGGATGGAGGTACTTGTGATAGTGATTGCCCACGAATGATCTGCTGTGGTATGCTTGGGGTGTAATGCAGTGTTTACTTAAAATGGAGTCAAGAGACAACGCAACTGGCCCTGCCCGTGGTGTCAGATCCTCATGTGTTACACAAGAAAGCTTGCGTTCTGATTCTGTCACTAGTTCTTTATACTTCTTGATGTCTTCCACCTTCTCACTAAAAAGTAAACATGACTGATGAACTTCTATGTTTTTCAAGATGTCCCGTGCTTTAAGCCAGTTGTTTCCATATCGTAGAGGCTCCCCAAAGTCTGTTGTCACTTCATACTTCTGTGAGACAAGTTTCTGATCAATGTCATGCGCAGCTTCTTCCAATAACCTGTGGTGCTTTAGAACAATGCCGAGTAAAATGTGTAGGTAAGGCGGTGAGACATTGCCTAATTCTACCGGGAGGAGAGGTGCATGAAGGGAATTGTGATATTTAGGAACGTCTTGTTTGTCTCCGTGTGTTTGTTCCATGAATGTAGAATTGTCTGTCTGTAAGCTTGCAAGTGAACGGCTCTCATATGGAACAGACATGACCTGTATTTGTTTTTTTTGCGTCAAGCACCAAAGGCATAGGTACATGCCCTGTGGGCCGGAAAGGCCATAGATTTTACACAAAAATTCATAGTCCCCGTTGAGGAACACCTTGATGACTTTGTCTCTCCATGCATGGGACTGAAGAGACACAAGGTCATCTCGGAGTCCCCCTTCTAAAAACCTAACAATGTTGTCTTGTGTATCCCTAATAGATGCCATGGCTACTACAACTGTGTTAAGTTGTGAATTTGGCTTGTGTGTGTTTGCTATCTGGAGTGTGAATTTGAGTGATTTTTTCCCATGGTCCCCCCCAATTTTAATCCATATTTCGTTGGCTGGGTTAACACCGTCATGCCATGTCAGCATCTGTTTTTTATCATATTCATCCAGTAAATGGTCAACAAACTCTGCCAGCCCTCTAATCCTTCCATATGGTGTTTGTGTTTCGACATTTTCTTCATCCAAAAAAACTTTTATTTCCGACTTCAACAAAATTGCCAATTATCTCTTTTGAGTATTCCCTGACTGATCCTTCATGTTCTAACTGAACCCCTACTTCTTTTAGCAACTTCCCTTGTTTTCTGGCCTGTCTCCAGCTAAGTCCCAAAGTTTCTTTTATAAGCAAAGCGTACTGCCTGGATAGTTTGTATCTCTGTTTAATCCCAGCGCCTCTAAAAATCGCGTGTCTCCGAACAGAGGGTATTCTCTTCAATTCTGTGGCCATTTGTATGTCATCTGATTGTTTGGATGTGCCCGCTATGTGTTCTCTGGTGTCTTGTAAAATGCGTGCTCGTTTGCGTTTTGTTGGTGTCCTGACTTTAGATGTCTGCTTCCGTGGAGCAACTATTCTCTGTAAGACTAATGGCTGTCCCTTTGTTTTCAACTTCACAACTTTCTTCTTTGGATCTAAACTTAATTTTCTTTTGATGAAATGTGTGCTTAGTCTCTCCTCTTCTTTCGTGAGAGGTTGATCTTCTGGCTTGTTTAGTGAGTGAGTGAATGTAGGTTCATGTTTGAACTTCGGAGATGTTGATGTGTCTGTAGTGAGTGTTTGTGACCTTGGAGTTTTCATAGGTGTTGAGGAGGCGACGGGATGTGGTGTTAGGTCAAGACTTGTTTCTTCATAATGCTCGTTGCTGGAAATGATAGTGCGATGGCTACTTGGTGAAGGGCTGGCAATAAGACTAGTTGGTGTGTCATCATTCATAATGGGACTATGATATGTGTGGTGTGTCATCATATGAGCAGCTCGGCTCCGGAGATACAGGTTTTCTTCGTATGCAGCCACCACCAAGACTCAAGCGATGCCAACAAACGGAGCAAAAATTCACATTTATGCTATTGTCAAAGGCACGCCATATGTTCCTACTGGCTTCAACCGCTTTTTTTGCGGCTTGAATCAACGGAACACCTTGTCTCCTTTTGATAGTTGAAATTGCGGTATCACAATTGATACAAATGTTAGTGGAATACGACTGTTCATCTTCGTCCCTCACATCAATCCCATAAATCAAGAGAATATCTCCTGCTGTTGTCTTACATAATCGGGGCTTTCTGTACTTTTTTCTTTGTTTGACAGTTAAATTTAAACGCCCACAGACCCGACAAAGTTCATTCACAGATTGTCTTTGGCTCTCAAATGTGTGATCCATTGCAGTTGAACAATTTTAAAAATTAGAAACACAATTTACTAACCGATCGCCAGTCTCTACAAAGTGCTGGAAAAACAAAATTTACACCATTAGAAAATAATGATTTGATGACTATCACATCGCGCAAACAGAAATGAACACCATCGTTTCATTTTGGAATGATTTGTAATTAAGTTTGAAGAAATCACATTCTTAACGGCACTTTCGATCATTTTGCACTCACAATTTAAAACTGATATTATTCCCAAACAAATCAATGAAAACTGGTGAAAGATACCAAGAAGACGTAGAAGAAGCGAAATTGGCTAAGAAATAGTTTCTGGGGGTTGAGTGAGCATCGTTTTATGGCTCTTGAAATTAGGGAAAGACACGCGTTCTGTTACCGTTACAATATCGCAGTGCGTGTGCTGACCCCGGTCAACCCCTGACCCCAAGGGTGTAATTGCAGGTTACCTGTCACTGATTTATGGCCTAACGCGGGAGGCCGAAGCAAACTAAAAGATCGCTGAGGCGGAATACTGGACGCCGTGTAAGAGCAATTACGTAATTAAGGGGGTATAATAACAAAAAAATAATGAAACTGGCTAGTTTGATGAGTTTTATCCAACTTGCTGTCACCATAACCCATGAAATACAGACTGATACTCAATAGAAATGTTCACATGTAAATTGCCTGTGTAATAGTATCACATATATGTAGGCCTCGGTATTCCAGCACAGATTTTGTTCAATAATATGGAGTAATGGAAATACACAAAATGCTAGTTAGCCCCAACCCAGTCTCCACTGATAGTAGACCAATAACTGCAATCAGCTCCTAATTCTATCCTTGTAATAAATCTAGTACTAGTAGTTGTACCAGCTTTGTTGACATTGCTAGTACTAGATTTAGATCAAGAGTTTGGCGGCAGGTTATATCTAATGGATGATTCACCTACTACCACTGTTGAGTACGACCCCCAGTCAAAATCTGGTCAGTTTCATCCCCGTCGTCAGTATCGTCACTGCTTTTCTCACCAGTTGGAAATTACTATTGAAGTCTAAGCCAGTGTGGCTGACAATGTAATCATAATGAAAAGGCTTATATTAGTCATGTTGACCAGCATTAAAAGGCTTTACGTGGCTTTCGTTTTGCGTGAACCGTTGCCCCAAGCCATATAATTGTTGCCATTGTAAACAAATGGGTTTGTTTTATTTCGGTCGAAACTTCAGACTAAAGAAACCACGCAAAATTCTCTTTAAAAAACGACTAATAATGAAACTAGCAGTGAAGCTTCCAGTCTTGACACATATACATTCGCAAGTCGCAAAATGTTGCCAAAAATAGCACTAGGAACCGTTTAATAGAACCATATGAGAAACGATGACTGAGTTGTTCCTCCACAGAAACCGTGTTCGGCCAGCCTCCGGGCGGAATGAGTTAAAGTCTTTTCTCAGAGCAGAATATAGAGACTTTTGGAGAAGTTGTTGAAATGACATAACAGAGTATGCAAGCTCTGTAAAGTTTGCAGGTTTTTAAAATTGAAGTAGATGCATTTATTGCTTTTTTTCTTGCTTTTCCATGGAAAGCCTCCCCTCCTTACACTGGTTGGTTATATCTTTGTCTGCAAATGTATTTTTTTAGTGTCACTGGGGAACAGTTCAAAGGTCAACAAAGACCTTCGCCTTCTGAACCAGACCGTCTGGATCGTACCAAGGTGGGCTTCAAGGAAGAAACTGGATTTGTGGAGAACAACCCTCGCTTTGTGCAGACTGATGACAACAAGATGAGGTTCCTCACTCACTACATGACCAGGTTTGTAGCATGATATATACCTGGTACTCTGTATCCCAAGACAGTATCCCTTTATGTCACACAATTGAACACTTTTACTATTTATTTTTTTCTGACTATTAATGTTTGCAAAAAAGTAGTGAATACATTTGCAAATTTAAAAAAAAAAAAATTGAAAAAAATTAATTAAAATTTTTGAAGAATTGATGTGTTGATAGGGACGATGATAGTGTTCAGATATGGTTGAATGTTGAAATTTTCCCCCAAACCTTGGTTCAGTTCCGTAATGCAATCTGTGTGAATGGTAAAACTGAGGAATTTGAAAAGTTTGCATCAAGATCTTGCTTTGTTGTCATTCAATGTAATAGAGTTCTTACTGAATGCTTACTGAATATCACCATTTAACTCTTTTTATCCGGGCTACGAGTATACTCATAACGAGGACCAGTCCGGGCTACGAGTAAACTCGGAACAGCTATACAGTCACGTCAAACAGCTATCTCTGCTTGTGATTACCAAAATACGAAAATATAGCGATGCTAGCTTTGTCTGAATATTTCAATTTTCCAATAAACAAGGGTTTCTTTGTTTTTGATGGGTGTAGAAGCTGGAAGTGTTTCGAAAACACACATTCACGACCGACGAAGTACTTTTTGGAGTGGCGCTGGGTTGTGAGGGGGAATGAGACTAATTTGATAAAAGTGACTCTGAATCAGATGCCATAAATTCTGTTGTGGGTGATAACGAACGGGAATTAGACTCATCTAATAGTGGTTCAGATCATGGGGAAGGGATCAGTACTGGAATTTTTGCAGTTCCGATGGGTAGGGCTAGATCTATAAATCCAAGGGGATGTTTTAGCGCGACAATCAGGGTCAAGTTGGAGGGTGGAATACACCTCAAAATCTACATGGTGCAGTTGGTGTAATTCCTAACCACATACATTTTCAGCTATTACATTCCATTTCTAACATAACTGCCAAATTGCTTTAAAATCTAATAAAAAATGTAAGAAACACAGCACTTTGAAATATACACCCTGAATTCCAACTCGTATGGCGCGGCAGCCCCAGGACAGGTACAGAGTCCGTGGGAGTATGGCCAGGGAAAAAAGAGTTAACTCTTGAATACTGGTATTATTTCCAGTAAGTCCACGAGAGTTCAGTTTGTAAGAACAGAAAATATCGCTTTTAATAAGTGTATCCTATTTGCTAGGAATGAAACTTGGAGTACAATCTTAACTCATTCGCTACGTATTATTTTCGGCTTGTGGACGAATTCTTTTCGGGAGGGCGAAATGAGATGATGACTAGTGCGCAGTTCATAGGTCTTTGGGGCCATAAATTCAAATAAATATCAACATATTATATACCAACATTTTCAGTATGGTTTGTAAAATACATCTGCATTGTTTATTTGCGTATTTTTCAACTTTGGTTCCTGTAAGAGGCGATTATGCAACACAATTGTGATTGGATGCGGATAAAATTGGAAAATAAAAAATTTATAATCTCAGGTGAAACTAAAAAAATATGTTTGCACCTAGTCAAATGATACCTCAAAATAACCATAATTGTATATAGAACAGGAAAATATTGAAAAATGTACAGTTATTTACATACATTCCATAATATTTGTACATTTGGATCATAACATCCGATATTGAAAAAAAAAATTTTTTAAAAATAATTTTGAAAAAAGGATCACAAACAGAAAAAAATATGCGTAACTTATATGGAATTATTCAGAATTGCATTTGGAATAAACCTATAACATGTCTTGAGTGGTACTTTTTGATTAATTTCACCCAAAAGTAGGGGTTTTGAGGAGAAAAAAATATTTTTACTATTTAGATCTAGGCCTAGATCTAGCACTCAAAAATATTGATTTCTCAATTACAGTGCACCGGCAATTTGCGTCCAATAGTATCAATATTATAAAGAAGAGTCCTACACTTCTTTAGTGAGCAAAATAATGATACATTTTGTTGTGTAAAAGTACTAAGACTGGTGTCTGGGCTATAATTTGGGCTTCGCGATAAAACAAAGTCGAATAAACTACGAAATCATGTTTCAAAACTGAATCAAAACTTCCGATTTTCGGTGGAAACGCTTGACCCGGAAGTCAACATTATATTATGACCTTTATTTTAACATGGATATGTGGATTGGAATAGAAACCAAGCTAAAATTGAACGTCGGTTCTCGAGCCGCCGGGGGCGGCTTAGCGTACTGACAGCACTTGAGCCGCGCTGCCCCCCACGGCTCGGCGTAGCGAATGAGTTAAGATGAAGCATAATAAAACGTGACAGAGGTTTCCAAGAAAGCAAATTTAAAACAAATGTCTGTTGTACATTGCTAAATGATAGCATCTAGCGATATGACACCTTTGAGCAATTCCCAATTTAGGTCTAGACTCTACTTCTCATTTACTGTCAGTGTCAGCGTCTCAACTACTACTGTGGCTGAGGAACTCAGGGTAACATTCATATAGTGCCAAGGAATAGAAAGACTGGTAGGCAGGCAAAAACTCTTCAGGAATAGCGAAAACGTGGGAGCTATATGTAACACTCTCCTGTCTTCTACACTGTCACGGCAGGCAGGAATTGTTCGGGAATAGTGGAAAAATGTGGCCTATATGCTTAAAACCCTTTTATCTATGACTCTGTATTCTGCTCCAGGTTCGGTACTGACCCGACACCTGTCGGAGTGGACCGAGCTGGTCATCTAAGAGGTGGCGTTCAGCGCCAGAAACTGGACGGCTTCACCAAGTCAACGGCAGTCAACAATTACGGAAACGAACCACAAAGTTCTGATGTCCTGCGGAGGGTAGAGCCGTACGTTGGAAGGTGAGACCAAAAACATTTTTATATCTGGGAACGGATTTTCTAAATTTGCTTCTGAGGGCTGTGAGGAGATCCATTATAAAGTACAGAAGGTTATTTGAGATTTTGTTAAAAAAATAGACGGAGATCTTCAGTTCTGCACTTGATCCTCAACACTATGATTTTGATCATAATTGCCTAGTACGTACAGTGTACATTTTTGCCATGTAAGTGTTTTTTTTAATAAGATCTGCTGTTCTCACGTGATTCCTTTCCCTTATTAAAAGTTTTTATATTTATCTTTGTCTCTATACTCATGCCTACATCATAATAGAAGCTGTGAAATATCTGCCCTAAGCTGACAAAGCGCCTTTTTTTCATTTTTGACGCCAAATCTTTTAATTTGCTAACTCAATAGCCTGATCAGTTACCCTACTTGTGTGAAAAAATCAAAGGGAAACTGTGACTAGTTTTTGAATAAATTAGAAGACAAATTTTAGAAGAATGCCTTTTCTTTGTTAGTTATGCTGACAAAATGCCTTTTTTTCTAAAAACTATTGTCAATAAAAGAAAAAGGTGTTTTGTCAGCAAATATACACCCCCCCCCCCCTATCATTAACTAGCTGGGCCCTCTCTCTCTGAAAGTCTCGATCGGTGCATTACCATCTCTCTCTCTCTCTCTCTCCCCCCACCCGGAAATTGTTTAACTAAAATTTAGCAGAATATGGGATGTACGTATGCCAGCATATAGACTGACTGCTAACATTATTTTCCTTAACTTTGTTATATGTTAGGTGTGGGTGGTTGGCGGGTGCTCTGGTGTGATTTACTTCTTCTTTCCTATCAAACGTCTATCGTCATTATCTCCCCTTCTTCTTTTTTGTGTTTGTTACTTTCTTGTAACACCTCTAATCTTCGGCACTTATATATGACCTTATAGTGTTTCAAGTGCAGTAAAACACTTACTAAAACTAAAACTCTTATGTTTGGTACTGATCCCGTCATCATGACTTATTTGTTTCTTTTTTTCAGGAGCATGAAAGCAAGGAATGTATTTTTCGATGACCACACACATGATGCAAAGACGTACACACAGATGGTGGCATAAAGTCTCCTGTGGACTCTTACATTTCTTGTTTCCTTCTAGTTGACAAGTTCTATAAAGGGAATGTTAACAGCATCCAGTGCAGATCTCATAGTTTTTGTGACTGAATGACTGAGATTGGATACTTACTAGCACGTGGTATGTCCTGACATGGAAGAAAAAGGAGCAATGTGTGGTGTCGGAGAAAAAAACTTCTTTGCTGAAAGTGAACTGTGCGTCATGAGATGAGTTTGGAGATGAAAAACTATAGTTGATGTGTTGTTGCATATCAGAGTGTGATAATCAACTGAGTTCTCATTGTTTTCAAACAATTTTTGTGTCAAGTAATGAATGCGTAAAATGTGTGGCTGAACATACATGTGAGTTTAGAACTCATATCTCGATAGTTATGAACATGTTTTCTAAAAATAGGAACATTGAGTTAGGGCTTCAACTTGGCCCTCCACAACGGAAATAAGATATTTTTTTAGTTTCTCTATTTGTGGTGACGAACCAATGACCAGTGAACAAGCTGCGTATTGATTCCCATAGCTCACAAGAAGTTTACTGCTCTTAAATTATACTTGCAATACTTTTAAAAGATTAAAATTTCAACACAAATACTGCAGTAGTGTCTTGGGGAGATAGTCTGCTATGCAATAATGGAGGAAAAAAAAGCAAAAGTGAAAGTGAGGGTGTGTGAGTGTGGATGCCTTGGCTGTGGAAGCTTCTGAAACATGATGCTTGTGTAAATAATATGTAAAAATCTCATGATGCACTTCTGTTGAGAAAGCACTGTACGAGCATTAGATTGAGGAAGCACTATTCATCACAGGCCTGTCTTTTAACCGCTGACAATGCAAAACGTATCGTATTCATACCTAACAGTAAAACCTCACGATTTGCATTTTTAATAAAATATCATGTTGCAAAATGCTTGTACTTTCCGGGTGAGGTAAAGAAAGGTGGGTTTTTTATGGATGAAGTCCCTGCTTTCTCATTTTGTTTTGTTTGTAAACCAGGATGATATCATTTCATTGATGTGATGTGGTTTGATGTTGTCTTTCTCTTGCTTCCTATGCAGACAAAGTAAGAAATATAATATAGTGTCTGGATTTCTAACAGACAAAATGTTGATAAATTCTTTCAATATTATTGTCAGAACAATGCATATATAGTAAATTTTAATGCAGAGTACTGATGTCAAGTATTCCTGCGCATGATCCTGATCATGTTCTACACTTTCATAAAATGTTTTTATTGTGATTATACCTCAGTCTATGCTAAATGCCAACTTGTTCTCATTTTGTTTTCCTTCAGCAGTATTCCGCCCAAGCTGTAATTTTGTTAAAGATCTATGGCTTTTTTTGAAAGTTGTGATAATGTCATCACTTTTTTTTAAAGTTTTCTTTTATTCTTTAAAATATATTTTTTTGGTTAATATCACACTTTGAACCCTTATGGGAATTATATGTATTTATTATATATATATATACATATAAATGATACAACTTATGTATGATCTTAGATAATCTATAAAAAGTCTCAGGAATTTTACTTCCAGTGCTATCTTAAAAATGCAGTTCTCATAGGTATTTCAGATGTTATCCCTGTATAACATTTACTATTACCATTGTCTCTGTTATGAAATTCTATTGTAATGTCATTGTACCTCACTGGGGCATTTTCTATCTGAGAAGAATCCTGAATATAATCCAAAATTTTGAGTCTTCACTTCTGGAACGGAAGACAGTTTTTTAAAAAAAGCAGTTTTGGGACTAAACACCCCCCCCCCCCCCCCCCCCAAACTCTTGAAATTTAGAAAGCACAAATTGAGTTATGGCGCTGGTGTCTAAGTTGCATCAGGGAAACCTATTTTTCCAATAGTGAAGACTTTCGAACATTGAGACTAATTAAGCATTAATTTGAACTTTAATAATGATTTTTTTTTTTGCAAATGAAAAACACCCAAGACAAAGTTGAAGTCTATACTTGTTGTGACTGCTCACAAATGATGGTACACTTTTTATACAGTTTATTTTGTTTTCCTGCCAGTATTCGACGACACGTATTACGTTGCTGCCATCATTACAATGTTTTGTGTGTGTGTATTGTTTTATATTCTCTTTGCTAACAAGATTGCCCAGGTGATGAACTGAACTGCTGATTATATCACATTTTTTAAAGTTTTATTTATTATATATATTATTGTTTTTCTACCAGTGAGTTTATATCATTTACTTCTTTTTCGACCATGTGATACTAGGGATTTGTGTACGTTATTTGATACTTTAAGATGTGTTTGATCACTTTCAGAACATTTTTTAAAGCTTAACCTCTCAAATAGTTTTGAAAATTTCTTGTCAAATATTAACATCTTGACATCAGTGTTGAATAGAAATACTATAATCCACAAATTGTGTTAATAGATAAGCATATACATGAAATGTAGAGAATTTTGTGAACATCTTCCAGAACAAACTTCTATTCCAAAATTATTGCCAGTATTGCATGCAAGGCTGGAAAGACAAGTCCATTTTTTAAAAAGTTTATTTATATTTATAACAACCTAACATAGATTAGAAACTGACCCCTCTATACCTATTTTAGTGAAAAGTACATTTGAGTATTCATCTCAATCTGCCTGAAGAACCAAAGCTTATGAGATCTAGTTGTTTGGTGAGTAAGTGAAAACACAAGCCATGACAATCTAATAATGTCTCACTCTTTCCACACTTTTTATGCATGTATAGCAATATGTGGTATTGGGCCTGCTGTGTTAGTTTTATCACTGGAATCATTAGCAAGTTATAGTTATTCCTCTCCTGAGGGCTGGATGCCATGCATTTCGCTTTCGTTCATCTTCCATGGGCCACTTCATTATGAGAGGTCGTCATTGTTTATTCAAACAGTTTTGACTTTTTCCTTGAATCGTTCCTTTACTGATCTTCTGACAGTGTCATCTTATATCTGCTGACTCTGTCTGAAACTTTCAAGACTTGCCGTACCACAACTGAAATTAAGTAAACTATCCCTTTAAATTTAAAGAAGAAAAATACACCTTTTTAACTTTTACACTGTATAGTGTTACTATGTTGCCTCTTTTTTCTTTTGTTAGTATATTATATTCACTCTGCTTGCCATCATTTTTAGGCTCTCTTATATGAAATGCTTATCATTTGTTTGACTTTTGAATTTCAGAAGACCTGCTCATCACATTTAATGTATTCCGGTAGAAGTGTGAAAGCGTATCTTCACTTCTCACTCTTTCAAAAGCTTCTTAAATAAATACTGACCTGGAAGGGTTTATTGAAATGATTGTTCTGTTGTCTGTTCAAGGAATATTGCCTCTTTCATGTAGAAAGTTGACACCAAAGTCTCATCCCTTCAGAAATACTGAGTCAGTCTTCAATGTTTAACTATTGTTTATAACTGAATAAAACAAAAGAAAACCCATATCCCCAACATTCACTTTTTACTTACTTAGACTGAAAACAGACAGAGCATTTCTGCATCAGCTGGATATTTAAAAAAACATGAACCCAATATGCAAGGCATTGTGATAAAAGTGGGCACTCGTCAAAATAATGAAAGAAACCAGCATTTTTGGTAATTTTTAACAATTTTTGCTTTTTGGCTCAACATCTTTTGTGTCTATTTATTTAAAAACACATATCTGTGTCGATTTCACCCCCCAAAAAAATTTGGATTAAAGGCACAAAGAATGTAGGCCTAAATTACCTGTTTCCAAGGACTTTCAAGCTTTGGAAATTGGACGTCTCCAAACTTTGGCGGCCATTCTCTCGCTAATTTGCAAATATCCCGACTTCTAATAAAGATAGATGGATATTTCTTTCAATGAAAGCATGACAAATGAACAAGCTTTAAGACGAGACCAATATTTCCACATGCCCAAAAACTGACAAGCGCCCGATTCCACCACGATGCAACATATACATGTACATGTATTCCTTTTCCTAAATTTGAAATTGAAATCCTGGCAACTGTGGAGTAATATGCCTGCAAAGAAGTATTGCAATTTTATGAGGGAAAATTCTTTTTTTTTAAATGTTGACCTGCCCTTCTTATCAACTGGCACTTTTGTGCTTATAATAGTAGCACCAAGAAAATGTGCTGCGTTTTAAATGTTAACAGTTAAATGTTAGCAAAAACAAACAAGTGAAAGGCTGTTTGCCATCGGAACTCTTTCTAGGTTATCTCTTCCCCCATTAAAACGTTTCTTTATTGTTATAACAATTATCAGTAAATTGTTATGTGGGCTAGTCTATTTGATTGATATTGTCCACCTTTCTGTTGGGGTGCCATTTCCCCACTCAGTCCTATTGCTATTTGGTCCTGAATCTGACAAGCAGGGTGGAAGCTGCTCGCCGGGTGAATGATGTAAATTGTGATGATGGGGGCACAAAACATTTTCAGTTCAACTATTACAATGTGTGTGTACACAAGCTTTTTAACTCAATGTATCGAAAAGCTCATTAGCGTCATTTTTTGTTACATTGGAGTTCATGGTTGATTTTCCCTGACCCCCGCCCTAAAAAAAAAAAAAAAAAAAAAAAGTTTATAAATATATATATATATATATATATATGTTATAAATTAAATTAATACAAAAAATAAAAGAAATATAAAGAAGGTAAGTGCAGATAGTTTCAGAATGCTATCAGATCAGCTGGGGTAATGATATCGATTATAAAGCCCATGGAGCTTGCTGTTGAGCGGGGATTTGCACTATAGAAATGCTAACTAGTATCATTTTTAGATCCATTGTTCTTTTGAGCAGTCACCAGCAATGGACCTGGACACCTGGGGGAGGGGGGCGCTGCTGGTAGGTCCTACTTCTTTACTTCCACGGAAGCTGAGAATGTTTCTGAGTGTTCTCAGAGGGTCTGCTGGGGTAATAATAGTTGTAAAGCGCATAGAGCAAGCTCTGGAGCATGGATATGCGCTATATAAATGCAATTATTATTATTATTATTATTATTATTACACTACACAGATAACATTGGAGAGGAAAGGAGCAGGCAGGCTATACCAAAGCCTGCCATTAAACCCTAGTGCAAATGCACTCCACATAGAAAGGCCAAACACTGTGATGTGTTACACACTATACATACAAAACAGAAACACTACAATTATTGTGTCGTGTGCTATACAAAGAAGAAATGCTGTGAGGTGTTATATAGCAGCTTTTTTTTTTTTATTATGCAGTCACACAAAACACTTCTATCTACTACATTAACAGGAACATTGACACCTGCCAACCAATACCAACTTATGAATCTGGTATAGTGTTTCAGTAAGAAAAGGTCAAGACTGAGTTGAGAGAAAAGCATTTCACAATGTCAGTCATTCAGAGCGGGAAAAGAGCCAGACAGACAGAAAAAAAAAACCCAGGGAGAGTATAAAAGTAGAAGAAGCATGGCCTAACAGTGGTTTCCAACTACTGCCAGTGTAAACTTTTTCATAAAAGCAATAAGAATAAAAATTAAGCAGAAACACTCCATGAATAATTTTTAAACTCTTTCTTTTGAGATTGCAGAACTTCACTCATCACATGACGGAGAGAAAAAAAAACCCATTACACAATAAACCAACACAGTTCAACTCACAGGAACCTAGCAGTGATGTTTTCTGGGATGACAGACATTTAGAAAAATATATGTAACTTTCAAGAAAAATTTATTTAAACCCCCACCAACATAGTTTAGATCATTTAGCAGGTGGGCTTTGACCCTGCTTGTCAGGGCCAACACGAGCTAAGAGAGATACAATGTCCCAACAGTAAGACTGAGACAATCAGAATTCTCCCCATTTGAGAACTGAACTCAGGTCTTCTGCATGATGCAATAGCGTAGTGCCTAATAACTACACCAAATGCTGGTGTAACTTTATAACAAGTATATCATTAACCATTAAATCAAAACAACGTGATAACAGCCGAGAGGGATCTAAATGGCTGTAGATCTTGAATTGAGAAAGACATTTTTGGACCATTTTTGTTTCTATGAGGCACACAATTGTAAACTGCTTCATTTTGAATGAGACGAATTGGGCAGATATACAGGTATACTGGTATACCGAAGTAAAGAATCTAGAGAAACCATACACGTACAAACAAAACATGAAGATTGGCAGGTCATACAGGAACAGTTGTAATCAAAATTTACACACAGTATTATTAATAATAGTAATAATAATAATAATAATTATTATTATAATAATACACTGATATGCAGTTAACAAAAAAATAACATGTAACATTTTATGTACCATATGTGTCACGACGTGGTGGAATCAGGCGCTTGTCAATTTTTGGACATATGGGGCTACTGGTATCATCTTAAAGCCTGTTCATTGGTCTTCCTTTTATAAAAAAAATATCTATCTATGTTGAATAGAAGTCAAAATATTTGTGATTGAAGGGGTCAGGGTCTCCTGGTTTCAGAGGTGAAATTAGCAAGAAAATGGCTGCCAAAGTTCGGTAACTTCCATAGCCTGAGAGTCCTTGGAAACTGAAAATTTACTTTTTTGTGCCTTTGATCAATATTTTTCAGTAAAATCCACACAAAAAGGTGTTTTTAATGAACATGAAAGGTCCTGAGCTTAAAAAAAAAATTCAGAAAAAAATTGCCCATCGGCAATAACAATGTCGATTTCTTTGATATCATTATTCTGACAAGCGCCTGATTTCACCGCAATGTCTCACATATCAGGATAATCATTTTTTAAATCAAGACAACCAAAGCTAGCACCGATATTCAATAAAACATTTAAAATAAAATTTTTGTGAACTCTGAACATATTTTTAAAAACCAAGTAAGGACTGTGGAGACAAATGGATAGATATTTGCTCTTACTTGCCTCCCATAAAGAAGCAACCAAAATATTTGTATTCTTAATCACGTAACCAAAAGGATAATTCCCTCCACACAAAAATAATTTCACAACTAAAATCCTTTTACCAATATACAAACAAAAAAACAATTTGACAGTAAACCTTTTTATTGAGTACACTTTGATCCACTTCTTTATATATATAGAACATATAGATATATATACTTGCAAAAGAGACTCAAAAGTGGATGATGGAAATAAAATTTTCCATTACATACAGTGAATATAGTATCAAAATATCAGTCATCAATTGAAACATAAATCATAAATACTGAAATCGTGACTGACAGTACAGCCGTGATATAAAATTAATTTGTTCCTCATTTGAATATAAAACAAGTCCCACAACCTGAATACTAGACGTAAATTCCAAATTGACCCATTGACCCACGACAAAGATACCTTTATCAGTTCTACTTGATTAAAAAAATAAAAAAGTTGAGGAGCACCAAAGGGGGGGTGGGGGTGCAAGGGGGAGAGAGAGAGAGAGAGAGAGATAGAGAGAGAGAGAGAGAGAGAGAGAGAAGAGAGAGAGAGAGAGAGAGAGAGAGAGAGAGAGAGAGAGAGAGAGAGAGACAGGGGGGGATATTACCTTTTACAAAATCAAGCTACCTTTTCATTCCTCCACTCATGCAAAATAGTTTTGTTGAATTGAACAATTTCTTTGGAAGACAGTACCTAAAAGCCTACAACGCTTTTAAGTTCTAAATTTGGCATCAACATCAACAAAAACTACTTCAAAGAAGTTAATATGGGTAGTCCTCATTAAACTGGCCCTCTTCAGTAACAAAAAGCATGAAGTTCCGACAGAAAAATTGGCTGTCCACTTTTCTTTTAAAGATCCAAGCACTCATGAATAAGAAAAAAAAAGGGCCATAACACAAATAGAACCTTTGTGGTTGTAGAGCAAACAAACAATGACTGAGTAAAAGTAATCCTCACTTTTTTCAGAATCCATTGAAGTGACCTCAGAATCAAGAGATATGCCTGAGTAAAGCGTTATCGATTGGAGTCCATTAGGCTAACAAATCAGACAGGTCAGGGTAAGAATCTAATCTTTAACTTTAAGTCATGAACTATCCATAATCCAAACTCTGTTGGCCTGGTAGAACAAAAGCTCTGACGACTTGACATGAGACAACAGTCGAGAGTTCTTGCCCACCTACTCAGAATTCAGAAGAACACTCAGGCTCACAGAAGAGGGAAAAAAAACCAACTGGCAATAAAGAGACCACTCGGCGTAACTATTTGCGTAGAATAATTGCTACCCTAGAATTACAAAGTTCTATCTGCTTAGTAACTACTTTGGCGAAATTTGATGTTAAAAATTTTGATTTTCAAAACACGCCAAGTTTTTCGAACGCAATCTTTTGAATATCTCGATAATGTCCCTGAAAATTTTTATCATTTTGATAGAGAAGATAGAACATTTAGTTTCTGACCTTATGGTCTCAGTAACTCAAAATGGCCAAAAACATAAAACAGAACTTTGTCATTCTGAGGTAGCGTAATTTGAATTGAAGATTTATAAAGGTAGATTAAGATTAGAAAAAGTGGATTGTAGCCGAGTTTAGTCCAGTAAAATGATGATCTTAGTATGGATATTAAGGTTTTAAAAACTTGGAATTCGCAAAATCAACAAGAATTTGGGAGAAATGAAGAGCAGACTTCTGAAGAGGAGTCATGAGATTTAAGCACCATACTCAAGATAAAATGGCTATAGAATCTTCATTTATGAATATCAAGTTATTAGTTTTATTGTGTTATATATACATGTCCATCTAAAACAGACAATCAAAACAAAGTGGTATTTGTAGGCATCATTCAGTCCCAACACAGGACGGTATTTCAGCTGAAACTGTCCATATCATATGTCCAGTGAAGATGGCATACATGGATAATTAGGTCACTGTGCAACATAAAATGTCAGTTGCAGTAGGTGGCAAGGACAGGATTACGTTGTGCGTTTCTGCAGAAGGGTCACACATTAGAAAAAAAGGGGCAGGCTGAATGACCACATGCTTACTTTTCACAAACATATTGTCCTTCACATGTCATAGAATTTAACATTCAAAGACTTTTTGAAAATCTGGATTTCAGGAAAACTGGTATCTGTAAACAATCGCATCCTGACCTGCCAGAAAAGATAACAAAGAACAGAAAGGATGCCCTACAACTGACTGTAGCCACAAGTTGGATCTGACTGAGCAAGGAAAACCAACATATTAGATTTTGAACCATCTGACTTAGTTTTATGTAAAAAAATCAGAATAATGTAGGAAAATTTGACCAGACAAATTGTGACTACATTACAGATTTCAATCGGGGTTGGACATGACTCTTATAAATTATGTGCACCTGTTATTGCGATGTACCAGAAGGATTCTTTTCCTGTAAGATTCCATTATGTTCACATCATGTAAAATGCTCCATTCATTTAGCTATCTTGAATCATTGTTTAAAAAGAAAAGAAAGTTCACCCAATGCCCTAAAATCGTTATGGTTTGGAAGCCACATGGACATATAAAAGATGGGTGAATGTGTAATGAACTGACGATGAACAGTTTATGAGAAAATTATACAAATGGTGGAAAACCCTGGATATCTGGAATGCCGATGGATGGAATCAATGGAATGAGACTTAGTCATCCGCTTTACGTTTGGGCCTCTTAGGGTTTCTTGATCGACTTTTGGCCTTGCAGAGAGGACAGATGGGAGCGTTGCGATGGATTTGTTGATGACAGGACAGGCAAGCCTGTGGGAAAAGAAACAAAGAAAAAGTTATGAATACATTGTAAATACAACAGAGAGAGGTTGCAGCCATATCATACTGTTCTTTCAATACAAATAAGTTATCATGCTTTAAGTTAGTCTGTGAGCCCACAAAAAAAAAAAAAAAAGGAGATGAATTGATATAGATGTGACAAAATGGCACTGTGAGAAAGGCTCTGTGCACAGAGGATATCAAAGTCAGACAGCTGCATCATGTGATGTAGTGATGTAGAGTGCCAAGGTTTGATGGTTTTATCCCTATATTCTGAGAGGGTGTGGTTGGGGTTAGAGCAGCCAAACAGCAAATAAATTTTGAAGATTTGGAATCACAGGATTTACTACATTTTTGTAAAACTGAAAAATAATTGTGATGATTTAGTCAAATTCAGTATGGTGGGTAGCCTTCCCTTCATCATCCATAAACTCATTATATTCAAAACAATGTTGTAATAACAATAAAGACAGAATTTGACTCAAGTATACAAAAAACTAATTCTGACAGATGATATGCATTTTCCTGTCCATCATCATTGTCAATTTAGGCGAATAACTTTAGCAGCGCATTTCACTAGGGGGGTATAAAAATAGCAACAAAGATGATTTTGGTGTCATTGGAACCAGAAAACCTTCCTCTATAACATACTAAAAATTGGCATGAATCGGAAAGGAGGAAATTTGTTACAAATGCCGTTTAATGGCATAGTATTGAAATTGTCAAATATCGATACCAAACTATTTCAGAATCGGAACGCCATATCGTACACAATACACCAATCTTAAACCACTGCTCCTTAAAACTTATGTTTCTTATCCTAACAGGAGAACTAAGAGTCCTAAACCTTAAGATTTTTTACGGGGAGCCTAGCCAAAAAACAGTTGGAGTAGTAGTGTACAATGAGTAATCGATACTAGTAGCCATGAGAACAAACTATTTATAAAATTACAATTGACATGAGATGAGAGAAAGAGGAGGAGGTTGGGGGGGGGGGGGGGGGGGGGGAGAAGAAGAAGAAAAAGAAGAAGAAGAAAGAGGAAGAGAGTCAAAATAAGTCAGTGACATTTCAGGCGTGGACAAAAACAATTTCAGCCAACATTCATTGTGACAAGAGGGGATATTCTTCAGACATGGTATCTTCGTTTCCATCATTAAAATCTTGGTTAACAGCCCCCCCCCCCCCAATATTAGAACAACTGGGACCTCTGTATTTCTAGGCAAGAGAGCATCTAGTTCATTTTTCTTGTAGATGCATTTCATGGAACTGCAGTCTAATTTACATAAATATCTCACAGTTTTGCAGAAGCATGTGTGGCATTGGTTTCCTGTCCATATGAAGTGAAAAGAGTTTACCAGAATCAAGTTTTCAACCACAGCACGGTGGCTGAAAAAAGATATCCTGAAGACCATAATTTCTAGATTTCAAGAAACTCTCTTAAGGAAAGAAGGATACCCTGTTGCATGCCAGTCTTCTCGCTCCTAGAGGCTTCCCTATATTGAACCACTTCAAAAGTGGTGGATTTTTACACTGATGACCGAGGTATAAATGTTTTCTTCAGTTGAGTATGAGTGAGCGCTGATGTTATCCCCATGCCATGAAATGTCCTTTCTCTATCTGGAGTCCTTATGTTGTGGTCAAAGTTGAATGCCTCAACCGAATACAGCTGTGTGCTATGGTAGTGAACATTTCCAGTGAGTGACCCAACAGCAGAATTCAATTTAAATTTTTGAACTTCTGCGTTTGGGGAGCAGAGTCCCAGTGCGCTCAGTGAGTTCACAAAAAGCTTTGAGGAGAAGTGGTGATGGAAAAATACACACATTTCTACTGATAAGTGAGCAATCATAGATCTCGGTCGGCTGGCAACTATTTTCAGACGTGAATTGTAGTATATGTGAGGCAGCCTGGTGGAATCAGGCTCTCGTCAAAATAATCAAAGTGAAGAAACTTGCATTTTTCCACAGGTTTGTGAATTTTTATCAAATTTTTATTTTTTGGCTCAACACCTTTCAAGGAGGAGGAGGAGGAGGAGGAGGAGGAGGAGGAAGAGGAGGAGGAGGAGGAGGAGTTTCATGCCCATTAAAGAACTCATTTCTGTGTGGATTTTTCTGAAAAATGTTGATTAAAGGCACAAAAAAATGTAAATTTTCAGTTACCATGGACTCTTAAGCAAAGGAAATAACTAATCATTGGCGGCCATTTTCTCACTATTTTTACCTCTGAAAACAAGTAACCCCCACCTCCTTCTTCCGCAAATATCTCGACTTGTATTCAAGATAAATGGATATTCTTTAAAATCCAAATAAAGACAAAAGAACAAGCTTTAAGATAATACCAATAACTCTACATGCCCCAAAATTGACGAGAGCCTGATTCCACCACGCTGCCTCTCATATATATTGTCAGTTTCAAGAAACAGCACAAAGAGGCCACCAAGTTAGCGCGTGTTCTTCTCCATAAATACATCCTGTTAGATTGGCTGAATCAGAAGATGGATAGACTTCTTTTTCAAATGTAGATTTTTGATCAAATGACCAGCTGCCTTGACAATTTTCTTCTGCCTGGCATCCTTAATGCCATTTTGGTGTTTCATAAAATTCTCGTATTGGTATAATTGAAGAAAACTAATTACTTAAATATAACAACACCTGCTCTCCATCAACATCCGCTATTAAGTTCACGGCACACCGACAGTGGAATTTTAGTTGTAGCAGGGGGTTCTCCACCGAGCGCCTTATCACGTCGGGGTCAGCTCCCTGTTGCCGCTCTGACTGGGCTGACTACATTTTTGGTTCTTTTCAATGTGCAGTTTTAGGTGTATCCCTGCATTTATGGTAATTAGCATTTAATGCACCCAAAGTACGCATTTCTGCTCTTGAGACCCAAAAAACAATGGACATTGTTACTTGTCAGGTTATTTCGTTAGACACGTTGAAGTCGGCAATGCTAAATTGTAAATTTTTTTGGACAAGCGTGAATGAAAAAAAATCAATATAAAAAAAGCGGCATGACAAAAACTGTAGAACTTTTGGAACATGAACGACATAACATTTGTGCCGATACTCAGAAAAGATGGTATCTGCGCATATAATAGGAAGCTGCAATTTAGCAACTTTATTCATCTGGCACACAATTCCCTATGAAGTAATTCCTCAAAATACAACTTTATGTGTCTAATACAATCGGGAATATTTGCATATTTTCTCTAAAGTTTATAAAAGTTATCCTGATGTTTCTCTATGAAAAAGTACAAACTGATTTTAGTGCCAGAATACATCTACAGCAATGTAAAACACAAACAGTAGGCTATGAGTTACACTCCATAAATTATTCCTTATTTTTCTTAAAACGCTAGATCTAGGTTTCGTAGGTTGACATGAATAACAAGGATGACTTTTCGTAATTGTGTTACAAGAATAATTTCTAACTTTCCAGTGACACTGAATCAGCACCTGGCTTTTACAGCTTTTATTTTCGTTTCTATAACCATTCACAATAACTGACAATGTTCTGATTTCTTTTAAACATTCCTAAGTGTCCCCGCACATGTCCGACACAAAAACTAAGAATGAATGCATTAGCAGTCATTATTTTTCTTCCAGACAAGAAGTTCATCTCTACACATGTATTAACACAGTTTTGTGTTTTTAAAAAATCTCATAATATATATTTCTTAGATGTAAGCAGGCTGCCACGGCCGACAACGGCAAAGTCGCTTCAGGGCTCATTAACCCCATGACCCCAAGCCAGGGAGCTCCGGTGGGCTGCTGAGTCACGCTAACTAAAGGTAACAGAATCGGGCGAAAAGTGACGTCGTGTGTTATGCTTTCCATTGCATGCCATCAGTTGTTTCCCTTTCTGGTACTGTGATCCATAATATTATATATACTGTGCCATTCAGATGGTCTTCCAAAATGGTCATCAGATCCCGAATATTGATCTGCTCATATCCATTTGCCTTCAGACAGGGTACAACATAATGAACGGCATCTATCTTTAAAACATCTTGAAGTCCCAATGATGTTCTTATTTTTTTTTCAAAGAAGCAACTTCTAATATAACAGAACATGGTGGCAGCTTAAAAATTTTGAAGTTCCAACTGAAAGAAAAATAACCAAGAATAGCCGTTGTCCATTCGTCCTTTCTTTATTGTGTCATGACTTTGGGTCTCTGTTCACACGCGAATGACATTATAGGCCTCTATGACTTAGCTTGACTTCAAAATTTTCTTTTCAAACCATAAAAGATTCAGCGAGTGCTAAATTGAAACTCATGGAGACTTAACCCAAGTTTGCGTTTCAGCCCATTAGGCTTCCTTGACTGTGACTAGTCTTTCTGTGTTTTGCAAAAAGATTTTGAACTTATGTAAGATCTGTAACATGAAACCTGCACTTGGTGCCCTTTAGTCACTTCTGTTGGGTTTTTTTAATGTTGTACAACTGCCAGAATACCATTCACATATTGTTATGTCAATTGCACAAGGGGCAATTCTTTAGAGGGAAATTACACTGTAAACAAACATCCACTGAAAAGCTCCGACTGAGGATGTGAGAGAAAACGCATTCTTAATTTATCGGCTTCCCATACTTTTTACATAAAAGCACAGATACCGATGACGAGTACCTCATTATCAGGAAAATCCATACAAATTACGTAAACATTCTCGTGTCAAAGCAAGTGTGATAAACCGATTTGGTCCTAATATAAATTTGGCTTTTTTGACAACTTTTAACGCATTTTAAAACAATTTCCTCCATGATTTCCAATGCTGATTTTTAATATGTTATTACACGAAATGTTATCTGTCGAACCATATAGGTTTTATTTTTGTTGCAATTTTTTAGGGTCTACCCTTATCTTTCTTCCACTAATTGGATTTTTCCTATTTAACAGGAGGGTGGTTTCATTCTGGGCTGCTCGGAATACATCCTGACAGAAAGACTGAGATATTTGAGAATATATCTACCCAATATGAGATAACCAAGTCACACTTTGAATTGAAGATGAATAACTTTACTGTTACACTACAGAAGCTGATAAAAATCTCTGTACACTACAAATCAACTGTCGTCAGAGACTGCGAGCACATAGATGTTTTTAATGAGTGCAGAGCAAAACAGTACTATCTGCAAGATAGTGATTGTGAACACAGACAAAAAATGAAAAGACTGATTAAACAAAACAGCACCACCTGCAGATGTCATCAGTGACCATGTTCACTAAAAAGAAGTTTAAAAAAGAGAAACAATTAAAGACTGATAGAAGAAAACGGTACTATCAACAATCTGACCTTCATGGGTGGCGGTTGTTGACGGAAAGCTTGGCGCTCGTTCTTATTTCGAGGCACCTGGAGCTGATGTGCAGCAGCTGCGGCCACAGCCAACGTCTGGGGGATAGGAGGCTCTGGAGGTTCGCTGTTCCATTCCGGGACGCTTGGTTTCTCAAAGAACCTGTGATGAGAGTAAAGAGGTAAACTTAAAAACACCTCTCGTGTGTAGACAGTAAAGTGCGAAATGTACAGATCGCCATGATTTCAGGGTAAAATAGTAGTAAAAAGTTACACACAACTGAGAGCTTTTCGAGAGTTCTATGGTAAAGGAAGAGGCTGAAGGACTGGCACAAGTGTGTGCAAGCTGAGGTCACAAAGCTGTGAAACCCAGAGAGAAAGATAGAAAGAAAGAAAGAAAGAAAGAAAGAAAGAAAGAAAGAAAGAAAGAAAGAAAGAAAGTTACAAACATGCTATTGCTGTTCACCACTGTGCACCGCCCTCTTTTCAAACTAAGGTTAAACTGTCTTGCTTAAGAACACATCCCAGTGACCACCCAGCCAAACACCATGCCACCTTCTTCTTCATCTTTCTCGTTCTTGATGACAGCAGCTAGACAGTCAGTCCGATGTCGCGCACAAACTGTGCAGTCTGCTTTAAATCTAAGAGATTGACACAGCTTTCTCTCAAGGGGAATCACATTCTGCCCATGTCACCAACACTAGCTCACTAACCACTCCACCACCAGAGCCCGTAAGTGAATAAAAAATGCTTCAGCTGATTTTTGAAAATGGAAATTGTTGGGGCAGAGAGAGAGTGAGAGAGAGAGAGTGAGAAAGAGAGAGAGAGAGAGAGAGAGAGAGAGAGAGAGAGAGAGAGAGAGAGAGAGAGAATATATAACTGTTTCATTCTTTTAACGATAGTACCTTTATTATGTATCTTTTCTTGACGTCCTCTCAACTTTTCTAATTTGAATTTCGACCAAAATTAAATAAATTTTTGAGCGCATACAACCGATACCGCATATTAAGAAACTGCAGTAAAAAGAAATCAAAACTTTGAGCATAGTGCGTCTGGACAGCTGATTGACGTCATGCTCACCCCCCACCCCCAAACCAACTCCCTAACCCCACACGTACATATTAATATACCTCCACTCATCCCCCTCCCAACTCACACACACATTCCTCCACCCCCCCTTTCCACACTCACACACTCACACAC